AGCCTAAATTATCGATATTTAGCACTAATAAGTTCATTAATTATTTCGAAACTACTAATCCTTGGTGATTTCATTATTTTTCTATATTTTAGAGCTCTCACACAACAACTGCATTCTGACTGGCTATTTTTGATTGGTTAATTATAAGGCCATCCTTAAATTCGCTTAAGGCTGTCTGTATAGTATAGTTTCACCATTAACGTAATCTATTTACTTAGAACAGGTTTATGTTCAAGATACACGGTATATTCGACAAAGTGAACGTTTCGTTCACTTTCGCAAACATAAACGTTAAATATTAAAAGATATGTTATGACTGATTTGAATGCACGTAGACAACCACAGACACAAATTCGTTTGGGAAGACATCGAAAGTTTGGTTGAAGATACCCGATATATCGACTCATACAATAAAGGTCAATAAACCACATAATTAAAGGTTAACTGGAAAGAATAGTAAACTTAAATAAAAGAACTGATGCTTGGTACCTGTGTGGTTGCGCCACAGGATTGAGCTGTAGTATTCAGATTGTAGCGTTAAAGCCTATACCGTGTCTGGTTCCGCTGCTAAACGGAATTAAGCTGTACTGTTTGGGTTGTTACGTGAAAGTTCGGATGGTGTCTGGTTCTCCTGAAAACCAATGTAAAATTACCCTGGCCCACAAGGGTATATTATATATAAAGAACCTACGAATACAACCAATCACAAACAAGGCTTTCAGAACAAAAAAAGCTTATGACTCGTGGAATAAGTAAGAGGGTCACTTCTACATGAATCAAGCGCTGATTATGTTGCCCAGAAATACAATTAAATCATGTAGAAATTTAGACAGATCAACAACACTAACAGGCTTATGTACTCGACTTTGGGATGAAGTATATAAGGTAAGATTCGATACCAAGACCTAATTGGATGAGAATCGGGTACTTCAATGAATACCAAATAATTGTTTCACAGTGCATAAATCAATCGACTATCAAATTTGCGACAAATTATTATAATAGAAAAACAGTAGTTTACAGGTTTTGATCAAAACACCAGAGATTATATAATACACAATTCACCTAATCATCTAACTATTCAACAGAGTGCCAGAATTAAGCCAGAACAAGGTTTTATTTTTAAAAAAAAAACAGAAGGGAGATGTCAGTAAGTGGAATCATAGATCAATTCTTATAAATAAGTGAACAATTCAATAACCTACTGTACAGTATAGGACGATTAACTTACTCGATTACTAGGTGGGAATGCATTCGGATTATTATTTAAACCATACAATACACTTAACGCATTTTCATGATTGGTAAATGCAACAAATCCATAGCCAAGTGAACGATATTGTTGTCTGCCTGGTTGAAGATTACGCATAATACGGCACTGATGATAAGATTGCAAACCAAAGAAAAGGGAACAAAATAAACCGTAAAAACAATTTTGTAAAGTTACAGTATAAAAATAACAGTAAAAAATTTTATATATTCAATTAGGTTATGAACACAGTGGATTCCAACCGGCAGATCAGAAGGCAGATATCAGCTAGATCTATGTGGTTTTGACACGAGAAGTTCAATATAGGTCAATACGCCTAGCTCTTCGATTACTAATCGTCTATTATAAGATCAAAAGTATCGAAAGCTCTAAAACAAAAGACTAGTACATCATGAGTAAAATAAGATGTTGATTAAAGACGTCTCATAAATCGCATACGATCAACTACAAAAGTAATGATTTAACGACATTCAGGCTGAGTGGTGTTCATGTTAGATTTCTTTGAAGGTGGTTTCAAAATTTCAAAGGAGAATCCTAGAAAATCCACTTCTTACATGAGCAACTGTTTTTTTTTAATATCTCCTGCAAATTCAAGAATCTAAAAACAAAACCACACATATTTCAACCATACGATATGTTCGAAATGATTGAAAAAATACAATGTAACTCATTTAACCAAGAACCAATGTATTTCTCTAAACAAACCTTTTCATTCCATCTTTTTAAACCATATTTCAAATATAATTTTCACATATAATGACATATTCTCAGTGTTTAATCTATCTCGGTAGCATTGCTATTATAATCTTTTCGACTACTATGTTATTCATCTCGTTAATTTTATCCCATGGTGCTAATATGGTATGAGAAAGTAAGCTAAAGCAAATTTATGCCAGATTGTATGTTGATTATGACTGAATGACAGTTTTGTATAAGGGGTACAGACACAACTCAGCTGCCGAAATCGAATTCAACGGAGTGTGGTTCGAACCTGCAATATAGGGGTTGGTAACCGAGAATTTTAACAACTAAGGTACTGAAAATATACATATTTAATTACTGGATCATGGGTTTAGATCTCATTCTTACCGCCGTTTATTATCTCCTGTACTGATGCAACATGTGTGTATCTAAGTTTAGGACGCAACCTTGTACTTAGTTATCGTCCAATAACTACCAGTAAATATATAAAAAACGCCAAACGTATGAGCAAACCGAACCTTAAAAACTGACCATAACAATACTTAAATAAAAACACGTCAGTCATACATTCTAAGCGTACTCACTTCTAAAATTCGGTGGTCTGTACTTTTTTTTAGAAATTTCATGCAAGCAGACTTTAAGTCATCATCGGATACATGTAAGGGTAGATTACGTAGACACAATCGAACATCACTAATAAAATAATTTGGATCAGTTAGTTTTTTCTTTTTCTCTCGCAGTAATGCATCCCTTCTGGCTAAATCTTCTTTGCTTAAACCTTCAGCTTCAGATGACCCAGGACGAATAACTATATGAAACAAGAGGAAAACGATAAAACGTAAAATAAATATTTTGATTCAAAAAATGGTAAAGAGGGAAGAAATCGTGTAGAAACGATGTATGTCAGTCTTTAAATTCTTCCTCCTATTCACTATTGTGAATAAAGTTTGAAAGGACTCCCCTCTCATTCATGGTTCATAATACAGACTGATCTTGGACAAGCATTGAAACCCAATAAGCATTTAACAGTTGCTTTGTCCTGAAAGTGGAACAACTCAGCAGTACACATTCACGGAAATACCGGAGATTGAACCCAGGATCTTCAAGTCTCGCACTAAGTGGTTAGTTTTAGCCATATTGTAAGTGTAGAGGCTAGTGACGATAACTGGTTGTATAAGCCGGAATAGGTGAAGCGGAGTTTGAATATGCAACTTGGCGGCCGAAATTCGAACACATCACACGAGGTTCTCTTTAGCGGAGCACCATTCGACAACTACAGTATAAATTTATAATCCAAACCCTCCCCTATATTAATGCACAGTTTCTCACCCCTTCCTACCCCGTGAACTTCTCAAAACTTTTGCCCGATAACATTAGTAATTTCAAAAATGGTATGATCAGTTATTATTGTTTTAGTGTGAACATGAAAGCCGGTAATTTGTGTGATCACTATCTTTTTAAGAGCAGTGAGCTCTGGTAATCACCAGTCAGGATTTGTTCAGTCAGCTACGCCTTTAAATATTTAAGCGACAAAAATTGTCAGTCAGTAACAACGTAAACTTCGTGCGTACGTACATTAGTTCGAGTTGCCACACCACATTAGCACAGAGATGCAGTTGTCGACTCAAATCCCGTAGTGGTGGAGGCGGTAAGAGTATAAGCAGTAATCGGAAACATTAGGGTTTGTAGATGGTATTCAAGGAGTATAATCCAGTGAGATAAATTTTGAAAGAGAAAAAACAGAAAAAAAGAAAGAAATAAAAGAAGGGGACATGAATAGTTCAAAGACTAGAATTTAGAAGAACACAAAGAGTCGATACACCTGCGCCATTGCAAACCATTTTGAGCCATGTCATTCAAGGTCTTTAATCATCGGTTGCTATCGTCTCGCGGATCCCAACCAGGTAGTCTACACCTACCAACATGGCTCAGTCCACTTGTCAGTGACTTCATGGATTTGTGCCATGTTTTGGTCTGGACGCCCCTAGCTTTCTTCCAACCAACTCATAAACCGTAAAACGTCGCACATCGAGGCAGCCGATGGTTGGGCATACGTAACACATGTCCCAGCCAGCTCAACTGATGAAGTTTCACTACTTCATCAATTGATTTGCTATCCTTATCTAGTACCCGTTCCCTAACAACTGCACTACTTACTCAGTGGTCCCAGGATATGCGAGCAATGCTTCGAAGACACCTATGATCGAACACTAGTAACCTACGAATATTCTCTACTCTTACCGGCCATGTTTCACTGCCATAAAGTAGGACGGAACGAACTGCTGTACAGTAAACTCGTCCTTTGGTTGGTAGATGGACAAAAATTGTGCACCTGAACATATTGAGCATATACTTCAGTAGCACTCGAACCGGCAGCTTTTTTTAAATATTTATGGTTATAACCTCAAAATTATCATTAGGGATGAGGAAAAACCACAGTCGTTATAATGTCGGCCGCCAACTTCTATCTCAAAGCTCCGTGTTGAACGGATAGGGTCAAGATAAAATATAGGACCAGTTTATAAAGTTACTAACTAGTGATTTGAGATAAGTAAGAAAGTGAAGACTTTCTGGTTAGGGTGTACGTAGCAGTCTTAAACTACGGTTGTACTGATACGATGTGCAGAAACTTTACTTTCATGTTATCTGCGAATGACTAACATTGATCTTGTAAGTAGATTTCAAAAATACAGCATATGTTAATGGCATGGAATTCTTTGCTTTCAGTTCAAACACTGAAGGCTAAGACACTCCTTTTGAAGTTTAGATCCTACACCGTAAGTAAGTAAATTTTCCTGTGAACAAACAAGCAAATCAATGATACCATATCTCGACTTAACTTTATACGAAAAGAAGTCGAACAAAAAAGTGGAAGTTCCCCAATTTTAACCGAAATAAGTAAATTTTTCTTCCAAATATTTGTGAAGAATTTCCCTTCGTTTTATTTGAAAATTGACTGTGATGTCATAAAATCTAATCATATTTGATAGTGATTTTTATTTATATCATAATATTCATGTAATTTCCTCAACTTAAAAGATACCAATATTTAAAAAATTTATAATGTTTTTGTAAACCTAATCACTAAGTATGAGTCAGATAAAAGAGCCAAAAGAGGAAGTTTAGTGTTGAAAGTTGATGTACGATGAATAATCGGCATTGAAGAGTGAGGTTGATTATGAACACAGTGGTTTTGAGTGCTGTTAGAAGTATGAGGGTGATTTTCGATTCCCGGTTGCCCACACCGTGGAAGCGTTTTTCTGGAGGCACCTGAAAATGAAATTGGATTAGGAGTGGTCTCAGTGACCTGAGAGCGTGACCGCAGTGCCCAAGGGATAACTGCTTGAGGTCGGTCACACACGACCTTTTCGTGAGTAGTTTTCGTGTTAGCACCTTGTTGAGACCTTACCGCCGGAGACGGATATCCGTGGGATAGGGCGAGGTGTGCATTTTTAGGGTCGACCTTTTCTAACACCACCACTTCTTCTGGGAAGGCAGCATCGCTGTTATGCTGGTTGTATGAAGGAAACACCTTACTGCTGTCACACCTCTGTACAATCAGCAGTAGGACTTCGCTTTCGGACCTTGAGTTTTCTGCTTTTAGTCCTACCGTTCTTTAATCGATCTGTCTGGCATATTAGAACCTAGAAAAACGATTGTTCCAGCCAGTATAGCTTGGTTGCTTCATCACGATAGGCAAGCCCGACCACCACGTCAAGGTAGTAACAACGGTCGGGACTGAGTATGAAACCGACTATAGTGTATAAAATTCTGATAATGTAGGTTTACAAAACACATTTCATTAACCTGAAAGCATGGCAGAATCCTGCTAATAAATAAATAAATGGAAAAATATGACAACGGAAATAATCGACCTGTAAAAGTTGTATTATTAAAGTGGTCGTCATTATATGAACCGAAGCTAGATGATTTAAAATGCGTACACACAGGAAGATTATTGACTTACTTCCAATAGATGCTAAATGCAAATTACGTCCTTTCTGCTTTATAGCATCTGCAGGACCTATAAAACCCTCTGGAGCATCATCTTCGTGTTTCCTTTTTCGTAGATTTTGTGCCTCTGTTCTAGAAACAGCAATTGTTATGTTTAAAGTTCGGTTTTCCAAAGAAAATTGATGAGCGTTCTAAATAAAAATAGGTCCGTTTTATTATGGAATTGAGTATATTTCTTATAAAGTGTAATATAGTACACAACTTATCAATAAAACATAATCTATTTCAACTAACCTCAGGTTTATCAGATTGTTGTAAGACATTTGATGCATCCTCAGCATTTACAAACTTTACAAAGGCTGTACCTCGGGAATGTTGTGTTGCTGGATCTTTAACTATTTTCGCAAATTCTAGGGGTCCGAACTGTGAAAAAAATTTGTGCAACGCATCTTCTTCCACATCAAACGATAGGTTTCTGAAACAATACATGTACAGAGCGATATAACCGGTATTAACGGCAATTGTTTTCAACACCATACTTGGAAGAAAATGCAAGTTAACAAAACAATAACTGAAGTGAAAGAAGTTGGTTATGACAGAGCGAAATATCAACCAAAGTAATCATGACTGTTCCTTAAGTACAAGGGAGTGTGAAGATTATTGAAGTTATCACAATTGATTGATCACTGGGTGGTGATCAATCAATTGTGATTACATCTCAGTCCTACAGGAGGTTAGTCACGGCTCGGATAGCTCAGTGGTAACGTCTCTGACTGTGAAGCTGGGTGACACGAGATCGAATCCGCCAGGGAACACCAGTTCCCTCAAGATTACAGGTACACCTTGCTGACGAGTGCCAAGTAGCACGAAACCCGGGTCCAGGGTTTCCTGTTGACTACCTCCAACTACCATCTAAATTATTGAAGTTAGTTTGTGATGCAGAACTACAAAAGTACCACTTCATAAGCATTTCATTCACTGGAAAAAGTGCTTATAGCGTATAGTCTTTCAAACGCTTGTGACATTTAGTGTCGAATAATTGGGTTTTGATAGGATCATATCAAACGGAAATGGAGCACATTAAGATAGATTCTTAAGAAACAATATACATGACGAGTTAGACTGTCTAACCAGATCTTCATTTAAAAAAGGATAAAATGTTTAGTTCATATATTTTAAATAAAATAGTAATATGCAGATAATGCTAAGTGACTCTTTAGTTGACAGAGCTATAAAACGTGAAGATCGCTGCAGAATAGGCAATAACAATGCAAAAAACGCAACAGAAATAGTTCTTTCGAGGTTCTTTATAACAAGAAGTCAAAACTAGTCACCAAGTTTTTGTCACATTCTGTTTATAATCCTGGGTTACAAAATGTCGATCAATTACTTTAAAGAACTCAAATATAACGTTAATTGGTAGTATGTCTTACTTAATGTAAAATCTGACTAGATCACCGTAAGCATATCGTACTCATTTATAGAATGGACACGACGATATACTTGTTAAACCGGTCAAATCTCTAGTTTGGACGGAGCATGTTATGAACTGTAGCAAACATACTAAGCATAGTTTCACTGAAATGCGTTGACCATTGAATTTTTTTACGGTGCATAAATAAAGTATTAGGCAAAATGATACACATTGAAATAATTAAGGTCACAAATCGAGAATGAAAATTGGATAATAAACATTAAAAGCCCAAATAAACAGGAAAAATGTAAATGTATCTGCACTACTTTAGTGTGCAATTATCAATAATGTCTGTAATAATAATAATTTCCAAAATAAAACAGCACTTCGAAATGTAGTGGACTACGCTAAAAGTAAGATTATGTATGCCAGATGTCCCAACAAACAGAATTGCTCTATCAATCACATTAAAACTTTTCACATGCTTAACAATTGGCTGCGAACCGAGTGAGGTATATTTGTTGAGGCAATTAATTCCAAAAATAATCTTTAGAAAAAACTAAAAAACTATCAAAATCAATAACAAAAATAAGTCTTAAAAGTCTCCAATCGCTTTCATAAGTGCTGACCATGATAATAATATCCTCATATGTACAGTAACCCGACCGAAGCTCCTACCTTGATGTGGTGGTCGAGCTTGCCTATCGTGATGACCCAACCGAGCTATATTGGCTGCAATATATGTTCCTGTAGGTTCTACCATGCCAGGCAGGTCGATTGGAGAACGTCGAGACTAAAAGCAGCAACTCAAGGTCTGAGGGTGAAGTCGTACTGCTGACTGTAGTGGGGTGTGACAGCAATAAGGTGTTTCCTTCGGACAACCAGCATCTACAGCGATGCTGCCTTCTCACAAGGAATAAAAGGGTTAGAAAAGGTCGACCCTAAAAATGCCACACCTCACCTTACCGCACTTATATCCGTCTCCGGACCCTTTGAAGAACGGGGCTAACACATTAAAAACCTTCCACGAAAAGGCCGTGCGCGACTGGCCTCGAGCAGTTGTCCCTTGGGCTTTGCGGTCACGCTCCCGAGTCGTTAGGACCAACATTAACCCATCTTCCTTTTCAGGTTCCTCAAGAAGTACCCTTCCACGACGTGGACAGCCGGAAAGTGACATCAACCTTCATCCTCGTAACAACACACGAGACTGAGTGACCTTATCGCGGGAAGCAAAATGACCTTATATTAGCATTACGTGTTTTATGATGATTTGGGTGTTAACGCGTCCTATTTTTTGCCCCTCTAAAACTGATTGTCTGAGGCAGCAGCAAAAAGGTCAAGAATCCGCGATCAAATATGCTCAAAGTGGGATTCCATTTATCTCCATTGAGTGATCAGTGACTAAAACACCTTGTTCGATCAAGTGGTATCGGTCCCATCAGTGTGCCCCAATCTCCCCATTTTGAGGTCCCCCCAATTCCAATGACAATTGGCAGTTTTCCCCAAAGTTTTGGGGGTTTCCTAAGACCTAGGGAAATTTTGGAGTTTCTGTGCTATTTGGATATCCAAGACTCTCTTTAGTTGTTCCCCTAAAACGGAAAACTTTTCTCTCAAAATAGGGACTTTGGGACACAAGAATTAACACACATCCACCGACCTACTATCCTTATGACTGAAGACTAGAATGTATCAGGTCTCCCGTGTTTAGTTTAGAGAGTAAAGTTTTGACGCAACAAATATGTACATATGTACGAATATATCCGTATATGAAATAACGTTTCGACGAACTACTGATGTTTAGTGTCTATAGATGAAATATGCCTATAAGAGTATCTAAGCATATTATCATGCTGTACAGCATGATAACGTTGTGGTGAGTAATTATAATTACTCACCATAAGTCAATATTACTGACTTCATTATCCAAAACGTCCACGAGGTCAAAAAATACTTTTTGTTTAGTTTAGTGGTCTACACTATATTTTAAACAATAGAACAAGATCAATATTACCTGATAAATATCGTTCTACCTTCTGAAGTATCGGACACCATGAGACACTAAATGCCCTTGAAGTGTTCTCAAGGACGCACTACGACAATGTAACGTCAATTTATGATAGGTTGACGCACATTCCAAAGTACACTTCATCCTAAATATGGCAGCATTAGTGAAAAAACCTGGAAATACAAAGAACAGCTAAAACATGATTTCAGGAAGGGTCATTCTTGTATAACCAACCTGCTGACTGTGGTGGATAGATGGACAACCATCCTTGATAGCAAGGGGAAGGTTGATATCATTTAACTTGGTTTCTCAAAAGCTTTTGATGAGGTCCACCGTATATGTCTTAGCAATAAGCTCAGACGATTTGGTATTAAGCCACGTCTGATTGATTGGCTCATTTCATATCTGAAAAATTGACATTCCAAGGTCATGGTTAAATTCACTTTATCTCAGGTTATGGACTGTCCTAGTGGGTTCCTCCAGAGCTCAGTACTGGGGCCTCTTCTTTTCTTCATCTATATAAACGATTCCCCACAACAGTTGTCCTCTGGCTCAATGCTTTTTGCCGATGATGTGAAAATCTGAATAGAGATACGTAACAAAGAGCAGGTAGTGACTCACATTTATCACGAGAACACGACTGGTTTAATAAAAACAATTATTATTATTATCAACTGTACCACTGCTTGTTTTAATGTGCTTTTGTTTGACTGTGCTAATGACAGCTATGTTGTGCTTCCATTCTTATTCTTACATTTTGATTGTGACTTCGCGCGAATTCGGTTACGTTCTGTAACCAAGCTTGTATCCTGGCACGATCTCGGTATCCTTTCGATACCACGAGATCGCCAGCAAATATATCTCGACTTGGTCCATTAACTGTTTTCTGATATTTGGCTTCTCGGGGATTTTATGGATTTATTTGGTTACGTTCAACCTTCGCCTTCTGATTTACTTGGCATGTGTTTCTTGGTAATGGTGTTCATAGTTAGTCTCAACTCGACACCACGCTACAAGCATATATTGGCAATTCAGGAGGATCTAACTCGATTTCAAAGTTGGGCAGACGACAACGAACTCACCTTTAACACTTCGAAGCGTAAAGTAGTCCATCTGCGTCATGTTGCAGATTACAGTTACAACTTAGGCGACTTCCCTCTAGAAGTATCCCAAGTTGAAAAAGATTTAGGAGTGCTGGTAACCTACGATCTGAAGTTACGCTAACTGTGACAAAAATTCCTTTCGAGCAAACCTTGCACTGGTAACATTGAAGCGCATTTTTGGCCAGTTTGACTGAAAAACGTTCCACATAATCTTCAACAGTTTTATTCGTCCCCATTTATAGTACGGAAACACAGTATTTCCTCCCTCACTCTAAAAAGATAAGCACACCCTAGAGAGTATCCAACGGCGAGCCACGAAATCAGTTAGGAGACTCAAATTCAGGCCTTATGAAGAGCGCCTCCAATCACTTAACCTTTACCCATTAGAGTATAGGCGTCTTGAAGGTGACTCCCTGATATCTTATAGTATCCTTAACACTTCTGGACATCCCCTTAAACACCTACTTAGGCCTAGTCCCAATACAAACCTAAGGGGTAACACCCAGAAATTGGAGACACATAGCAGAACGCACTATAGACACAACTTCTACTCCCTAAGAGTTGTCAAATGCTGAAATTTGCTGCGGACTGAACTAGTGCGAGCGAATTCTCAAGAGTCCTTTAAGAGGAAGCTTGACCTATTCTTAAGGGCTAAGGATAACATCATATTATGATTTAAATTTTTCGTTTTTTCCTCTATCATCTGTAGTATACCTAGGTTCCTGCCTGGAAGTATTGGTGATCCATTTCTACTAGACACGGAAGCCTGTTAGGTGAAAGCTTCTTCTATCCGTCCACAATCATTTGAACCATTTGAGGTACTGGAAGAAAATGTTCTACCCCAAACAAAGAAAAACCTAGAGGTATGTGTGCTTGTTTGTAAAAATCCATTCTTGCATATTTTCTCGTGAATATGATCCTTTGATTTTATTCGATCTTTAACCTTGGTAGCCTTTATTTTCTCTATTTATGGTTGGATTAATACTCTCCAAACTGACAGTTTTAATCCATCCAATATGACAGGATAGTGTGCTGTAGGTTGTCGAAATCTCCATTTTCCCTCAATTGGCAATAATTTTGTAAGCTAGATTGTTTAATCTTGTTTAACAACTCTGTGAACTATATAGCCTAGTCATGATATTCTTCATGATAATTCTGTACAAGTAATATTAGTGGCTTTGTGATTATAATCGTTTCCAACCCAACTACTGTGTTTTAAATTTACCTGTGGGATAGGGCTAGTATCTAACGTCATATTATGATGGACCTAGTGAACAGCGAAGGCCAGAGCTACTAGAATCCCAGGAGATTTCACAAGTGTCTGCCGTACTTATTTGGCCACACACCCATAGTCGCATATAAATCAGGAATAAATAAGTACAGTTACAAAATCAGCTCTATTTAATCAAGAAAATAGGTATGAAATACACGAATTCCATAGATACTTGAAAATCGTCGCTATGCGAAGAAACACTCCGATTTGTAAACTCCGTACAGTCGATAGTTGAAGAGTACGAGTTATCTCTCGAGTAGATAGCTTCATTCGACATCTATCTCACGCTTAAATATCTGAATAAAAGGACACTTGGTGTTCAGTGTAATAACACTGAATCCCAGCTAAACGATCAATCTCAGAACCCCTACAACAGGATATAGAGTGGTTAACGAAAATTAATTATTATTGTTAGCCTTATCCAATACTATAATTTGAGTCTAACATAGAATTTTCAGCTCAAAGTATTTCAACAATTTTCCTTTTCTTACTTCTTGATCAGTACTGACAATAAATATTGAGTGAACGCCAGTTAGAAGTTAGCATTCCAGTCAATCGATATCTAAATAATTTACGCTCTTTTCGCTGCCAGCAACCACAATATCTCTAACTGGGTCTTTTGTAGCATGTACAAAGAAAAGTTGTACACTTTTCACAAATGCAACTGAATAGTTATGCCATCAGTAACTTTAATGATGTATTAAAACAAAAAAATTGATAACGTCTTGAAATATCTGCATGGCAGGAACAGGCAGCCCAAATATAATGCTAACATTATTGAAACTTGGGTATTATTGCATTTTTGACGAAACCCGAAATGGCTACTTAACAACGCTTATGTAACCATAAAATATTTGTGAATAATAATAATAATGTTCAAGCAGGTCGCCAGAGAAGTCTGATGCGCGACTAACATACTAACCGCATGTCACATCCTAAGCAGGGATGAACATCATATTTATATTATCAATGCTCGTTTAACATTCATGCTGGAGTTTAGGAATAGAAGTTTGAACAAACTAATTTTCATTCTCTGAGGAGCCATAACTGTGTCATAGCATAATAGGGCCGCCACCCCAAAAAGCGCGTAAAGATGCAATCGTAAAGTATAGAAACGTTTTCCCATACAAGTAAGCACTAAGGACTTCGGCTTCTTGATGAATATAATTTAACGAAGTAGGATATTGCAGTATGGTAATGAATATTTAAATCAATATAGATGTTTCTGTTATAATGTCTGCCGGTTTTGCTGTTTTTCCGGGTCATTTGATCATCAGCCTCCTCCAACTTTGTCAATAATCAAACAACCACGAGTAACCGTAGTTATTGCCATGACATATATTCTTCCTCCCCATCTCAAATTCAATCTTTTATTAGTGAGATGCTAGTAGTCCGTATTGAGGAGAAAAATGTATAACCCGGTGACTTAGATAAATATATTAATCAAAGCACTTCGTATATTAATTAATTAATATCAGCCACTATCAGTTCAGTAAATTCAAAAGAACTCATAAACTAGAAGAATATAGTGACGGATAGTTCGCTATACATTCTGATGTAATCTTTATCATTTTTGACGTTGTTTAGTGCATAATTGGACCTTAATCTACAGACCTGTGTTGTCCCCTGCTTCGAGCCATCTCAGTTCTGTTCTCCTGATCAAGAAGTAAATACTGGTTATTCTTCAGTCCTAACTAACTGTCACACTCGCAGCAGAATTAGAGTTTTTTAAGACATTACAGTTGTTCGACAGTTCAAAAAATGTAGGACAACATGAATATAACATTACGGTAAGCTTGAACAAACAATCATCATAAGCAAGGCGGTCACATCATGACAACTTAAATAGCGAATTAAGACCAATGATTGAGCAGTATAAACGCGTTCATTAAAAACTGTCATATGCTCAATTCTCACATCTCTGAATAATATAGGTTGAAGGACATTAGTCTTACACATAAGATCATGAAGAAAATAACGGAAACGCAGAATTCCTCGAGGCTTTTATCTAGAACTTCCTCAACACAATGTACACAGCCGCTAAATCCGAAGTCGAAAATGACGGCTTATGAAAGTATACTTACAGCATGGGACATTTAAGCTGACAAGATATCGCATGAAATGCTCTACATGGCCTATCAAAGTGTGATCTTATGTGGACGTACTGCCAAACTTCTTTAGCTTCTGTGTGTTTCTCAGATCTAATGAATTCAGCACCATTATCAGTACTTAATACAAGTAACCCCCGATTAAGGTTCCCCAACTATCCTTGAGATGACCCTGAGCATCTGAGGTGACAGCGGACATTTTGTGTTTGAATACCACGAAGTGGCCCTTCTCTAGCATGTGTGGGTATTTCGAAAAAGGGTTTTACTGGTTGGTTATAATTATCATACATTGTTTTACCTTTAGTGGCCAAATAAAAGTTTGCGTTGTTTTTGCATTTCCTACTCAAATCCAGTAGTAAATTATCGTGCAGTTCGAATATGATTTCTGTCAAACGGGGAAATTCACCTACAATGACCGTTTATTTGTCAGAAGCTATGTAGTTGAAGAGAATCTAAAAACAGCTCTGAAACGTTTCAAGTAGACGAAGCTTAAGTACCGTTAGTGGAGACAACATTAACTAGTCGCATTCATCTACGTAGTGAAGGAAATCAAAGTCATAAGGTCCTTGCATTTCTTCAATTGACAGATAATTCCCATTTAAACATTAAAATTAAAACACGAATTTCAGCGAAGGGATCTCTTTTCAACGAATTTATTATCAAGCTGTACAATCGTATATATATGAAAATTTTGTTTTTGTAAAAGTACTAATTCCGTGAGGAAATGTGAATATAGTTAATATAAAGGTTATAATACTAGATTACGTAATATGAATAATAACAATAACAATGGATTTGGTGAATATAATAAGATGATTAAAGTGTTTTTGATATAATAATTAAAGGTCATAGAGGTGTACAAAAATAAACTGATATGATGAGCGTTCATGCATAAAACAATGAGAATATAAGACATAAGTAAAGGGGAATGCAGTAATAATAATAATAATAATAATAATAATAACATTAATGGTAGGATAATCAAACTAATTAAGGCCAAGGTAACGATAAC